AGGGGCAGTTCTTCTTTCTCCATCCATCCAACTCCCAACATTCATTGTTATATTTTATCCCTGATTCTTGAAGCTTAGTGTCAGTAGTTTTTATTGGAAAACATAAATATCTATTATATGTTTCTAAACAGAGAAAGAAAAATCTGTGCTATGGGGGAATTATATTCCTGCAGTATTTGAGTAATCCAAAGGTCTCACTCTGCCAACACATTTTTCTTCAAATTTACATGCCATATAGAAGGACAGTTTTCAGTGTTACTAAAGGAAACAGCTAAAAGTCTAGAAAAGCAAATGGTTGAATACCTTCTCAGGTAGCTAGAAAATTACTATTATTATTTATTATGATGGCTTGCTCAAAATATAGCAGGAAAACTGAGAATGAAATTTGCAATTAATTTGGTTAGAAATCAAGTACAAATGGAATTCATGCTGCCATTAGTATTTTTGCTGTGCTACTCATACATGCAGTCTTTAAAACATCATTCTAATTACAATTAATAGGAAAGTAGTTCCAGACATTAAAATTGAGATTAAGAACTGAAATTGTTACTGTGGATTATGATAATATGAATGATAAAGTAGCAACAAGTAATTTTTTGAGGGAATCTAATTTGTACTGCACTACTAATTATGCAGATACTTGTTATTTTAACCATGGAAATCAATGACAGACTAGTAACAACAAAATCATGTAAATTTTCCAGTTCCAGTAGCATTTACATAGTTCATGTAAGAATACAGAGCGAGTTGCTGTTTTAAGATTTTGTTTGAATTTCAAAGCTTGAAAAACTAATGGAAAAGAAGAGGAAACAAACATCAGTGAAAAAAATGGTCTGAAGTTCCCTTGTGACTCAGTAATGACACCTTTTTTCATATATCAGGTCCCTATAAGCTTTTCACCCTTGCTGTCATAGTTAAGATGTTGGCATAGAGGAGGGAGACTGTGAAAGTTATTAGACTATCAGCATAGGGAATAAACAGTTTTCCTGTTCAGAGTTATGGGGGTTGATACCTGAGTAGAACCACCCTGAACATGGAAGGATCTATAGCCACCTTCCCCACTGAACTTGTGGGGGTTCCTAGTTAAAAGTTGTCTCTTTTATTGAATTTTATGGAGACTACTGAGAAAATTAATTGGCAGCAAAGCTTTTCCCAGCAACAGCAGTTCAGAAACCTCATTCAATTTAATTGATGCTCCCCTACAAGTTCTCCAAACTTTTCTTCATATCCCTTCCCTTTTATCCATATTGTGAGTGGGGAGCACAGCCTCTGTAGAAATGCTGCAATTTTTACAGGCATATGTGTGGAAATGAGAGCACTGGTGTCCATTGGGTATGGTAACAAATAGAATAGAATAAGAATTTTTTTATTTCTGACTGTGCCAACTCCTGGACTAATTTCCCAGGAGCCTACAAAGCATAGAATGTGGACAGATCCTAATGGAAGTAATGGAAAAATATTATTAGCACGTTCATTCACGTGGTTACTAATGTGGGATGAGAATTATGCTAATTTTAAAAATCTACATTCTGTAGCTCAAAACCCACAAAGTTCATCAGAATAACTGATATGTGCATGTCAGACCATTTTTTTTTCCTTTGCTTTATTTTGTTCTAGACCCACCATACCAGAAAATGGATGGGGTAGAGGTGAAGGGGTAGCTTTGAAAGTAGTTGAAGCTGCTGGAGTGCTGGGCAGTTTCAGGTCCTTAGTGCTGTGTGGTGGCTGGTGGGTACAGAAGGGAAATATTTCACAGGGAAATAAGTGAAGGACAGATATGAGGTGTCAACAGAAGCTTCCATTTGCATAAGTGCAGCTATGCTGGATGCTGGTTTTTCTGTACCTGCTATTGGAAGCCAGTGGGAGGCAATCATTACAAGAATCCATAAAGCTAGCTGTTAATTGAAACCCAAATTCAGTTCAAGAAGAAAAAGAAAAATCGAAATAGGTCTATGAAAGAGATGAAGTGTCATGGGACTTAAGTCATGTGCAATTTTCATAAAATATGTGATATATGTAAGGCAATTTGAGGATTATTTTAAAATATGCACAAATCACAACCACTGGATTGTGTCTTGTGAGTTGTGTTTTGTTTGAGGCACACTGTGATGCAGATGTGGTTGTTGGGGGCAGTCTGTGCCTTGATTTTTCAGGTTTGCTTGTACTGAAGGGCTCCTGTCAGACTACTACTGTCAACTTAATTATCTAGTGAATTATAAAGTAAAAAAACACATCAATTTTCCATAGCATTGAGATTCTAAATTAAATTGAATGCTATATTTAAATCTCAACTAAAATTAATAATGTTTAAGGATCCAGGGAATCTTAAAATGTTACTCACGATAATCAATGTGATTAACAAAGACTGTCATGAGAAGTTTAAAACAAAACAAAACAAAATGAAGAGTTACTATGTATATTATCTAGGTCTGAATCTCTGTTTTCAGCTCTGAATTTATGAATCTCTAGTGCTCAAATTAACAATAAAAGTGTGTGTATGAAAATGGAGATACCTCAGACATTTTTTGCAATACCCAGTTTCTTATACTATAATTATATAGGTATCATTTTAATCTTAATTCTTCCAAAGAACATTTAGAACTTCACACAGTCACACTCCTGTATGAAAAAAAAGATCACCAGTCTTGGCAGGTCCTCAGAGCAGAAAATGCTTTTCTCTTCCCCTCAAAAATTCAGAGTAACAACAGAGTGAGTTTGGCAAGCATTTTGAGCAATGCTTCTTTTAAAGTATTTTAAAATATTGGTACATAGTCTGTATTCTTCTTTATCAGCTGAGTTCACACAAACCTTTGAGTGTCTACCCAATTCCTCTTCAAAAAGAAATAATAGAACACTCAAGTTCATACTCCCATCTTCAAAAATTATTTTTTCTCTATTCACCTACACAAGCCATCTCTCTAAAGAAGAAAAAATTAGATCCTTTTATGAGCTACCCATGATGTTTCATGATCCAACCCATCACTTTTGTCTACACAGACCTGAGGTAACTTTGAAGCACTAAAACTCAGGGAACTCTATTTTCTTTTCAAACAAAAGAGCGAGATCTGTTTGAGAAACAACCATCAGACTCTAAACTCAGAGAGCAATGCCAGTAGGAGAAGATCTGCTTGAAACTGTGTTCAGATATGTCAGAACTGTAAAATTTAACACATCACTTGCCACTGTAACAAATGAGTGGAAATAATTGCCATTCAGTTGTTCAAGTTTTATTTGTTTTCTGAAATAGAAAATTGGGTTTGGTAATTTAGTCTCTGGCACAAAATTCTGCACTCTTTGTGACAAAAAAGGAGAGGTCAAATAGCTGTATTTGTCATGTGTGAACTGAATGAGCCCAATTATTTTGAAATTCTGGGAAATCTGAAATTCTGACAAGCATGAAATTTGCCCACAGTTCGTGTTCACATGCTTATCAAACTAGTAATTGTCAAAACAAAATCCCAGCAAAATGACAACTTGTGAATTGACCAACCTGCACAAAAGTCAATATTTTATTACCACTGCAACACAGACTTTAAAGCTATTCCAAAACTGTATTCTTCAATCTAGTCTGCAATGCAGGGGAAAAAAAACAATAACAAAACAAAATACAAAAACTTCACACCCCGAAGCATGTGATTAAGATCATCTTTACTCAAGAAAGATGTGAAATACTTGTTTCAATTTAGACAGAGTATTAGCCTGAAGGAAGTCAATAAAACTGTTCACAGCAGCTGAAGAATGTGAACAAGCCCAGTCTTGTAACAGTAAACAATATATTTGTCATCTACACAGCAATCATTATTTTAATATGTTTCATTTAAAAATATATTATGTTTGCTTTCTGATGCTAGAACAGCTGTACAGTAAATCCAGCAGCGCTCAAACAAATTTGTGCTCTCAGGGTAACTGTAGGTTAGACAGATAAAATACTGAAGCTGAGATGTTAAAAATAAGATTTTTAGTATTAGTCCAAAAATAAAAGTCCTTTGAGATCACAGGAGCATGCTTGAGAGTGGCTGCCTTACAGAGTGGATTTCTTACATGCCCATACCATATATCATATGATTTTGCCCTTAAAAACTCATATCCTAAGTTCTTAATGTGCAATTTTTTGGAGGGTCGGGAGGTAGGTGTAGTTAAAATTTAGAACAGGAAAAATTTAGAACATAGCAAACAACTCAAAACTTAAACTTTTGCAGTGCTAGGATAATTGTATAACTGAGAAACTCCCTCCCTTGGGTTACACACCTCAAGTATTGTAGCATCTAAACTGTATGGCAACATCTTATTTCATAAGCACTTAGCACATGGTCCTGATATAGAAACTGTTATTAAAATTTATATGGAACCTATCCCTCCTTCTGAGTATATTATCCTCCAAAAAGTTGTTGTTGAGCCAGAAAAGCTGTAGGTGCTACTCCTTTACTTTGCTTTTCTTCTGAAACAGAACAACCTCTTAAAGCACATTGAGAGCAGTAAAGAGAGCAACTTTTACGAGCATGTTCTTCTTTTTGAAGCACTTTGACAGGACTAGCTTTTTATACACATACCTGTGCAGAAATTATTCTCCTACCTAAATTCCAGTGTCTAAAGGGCATATAAATGTGCATGACCTAAATATTCCATCAGATTTATTTCTATATGGGCTGATGGACTATAAGTGTTTTCAAGAGCAGAACTTGACATTCTATTTTCAGGACCTTTTCATTTGTGTGAATTCAACACAAAAATATCAGGAATCCAGAAAGTTTTTTCTCTGATTTTGTTTTAATTTCCCAGTTTAGTAATTGAAGATCTCGTCTCTTAACTATTATTTTGTTGTTACTCCTCCTGTACTTTACAGAAATAATTTTTGAAAATTGCTTGTGGCTTCTTCAGAAGCATCTGAGGCTCAAAAGAAGCCTCTCTCCACGTCAAAAAAAAAATATTACAGTTGTGCATGATCTGAACTGAATTTGGGTAGCATGATCGGGTTTCTAATAATTGCTATTCTTTTTCAGGAAAGCATAGATTTGGGTGAGATCATGTTTTCCCTTTGTTATTTGCCTACTGCTGGGAGAATGACTTTGACAGTCATCAAATGTCGGAATCTCAAAGCAATGGATATAACTGGTGCATCAGGTGAATCTACTTCTTCTAAAAAAGGCAGAGGCTGTTCAGGAAGGGGATGAGTAAGAGCTCCTTGGGTTTTGTGTGTCTAACATGGCTGGGGGATGGATGTGGCAGAGAATGAATACAGACCCTGTTTAGATGGACTGGCAGCCAGCGTGTCTGTTCGGAATGGCCATACCTTTCCTTTGCACTTACAGCATGATGAAAGCAGTGTTTTCCAGGGTCACTCAAATCTTTGCAACCTTTTACCTTAGCAGTACAGCATTCCAACCACAAGTGTTGTTCTTATGCTACCATTTGAATGGCTTTGAATCCTAATGCATGAACTGATTATCTGTTACTCAGATCCATACGTCAAAGTGTCGCTGATGTGCGAGGGACGGAGGCTGAAAAAGAGGAAAACAACCACCAAGAAGAACACACTGAATCCTGTTTATAATGAGGCCATCATCTTTGATATCCCTCCAGAGAATGTGGACCAGGTCAGCCTCTCCATTGCAGTGATGGATTATGACAGGTAAGCACAGTTCTCTTTCTGACCAGAGACAGCTCCTGATCACTGCAAGCGACTGCTTTCTGCCTTGACCTTACGAGCAGCTTCAGCATCACAAAAGATAAAGCCCTGGGGCCTTTTCATGAAAAAGTTTAAAGCTTCCACACCTTTTAAAGCACATGGCTTTTTATCTGTGTCTTAAATGACTGAGATGAGGAAGAAATATGGCTCAATTTTCTTCCAGGCCACTACGCCTGACATACATTCCTGTCCATTTCTGGGGGCTGGACTATGTCCTAACTTTATAAATCAGGTATGTCTTCTAGCCTAAAAAAGTCCCTCACACCTCTATTTTCTATTTAAATGGCAGGTGTTTGAAAGTAAAGAAAATTTCAATGACTAAAAAGGAATTAAATGCTAATTATGTCATTGAACTAAGTCATTAATTATCTCTTTGATTGATTCAGTAAAATAACCTTTCAATGTGTAACCTTCAATATGGAACCTTTGGGTTCCGCCCTCACTGATAACATGTCTTAGGCTGATTATCTATGGTTTCACTGAGAACTGACAGGAAAAGACTCTTGTCTAGAGTGGCTCAAGGACTGCAGGTTGATCAAGACTGTGACTGACAGAATCCTACCCAAGCCAAGTCTGCTTCATTCAAGTGCTATTAGTAATGAGCTCCTGAGATTGCAAGGCAAATAAACAGCGAAAGTCCAATTTAGTAACATCACCCTTCAGATTGTTTTCCCTTGCCATCAGATTTCTGGTTGTTCTCCAAGTTCTGCCAGGAAGACTTTCTCACTCAGATGTGAGTGGCACCATGGTGCCATTAGCAGGGAAGGAGCAGAGCAGCTTGCACACTTCCAGTCCTCCTCAGCTCCTCCCTTCCCAGCACTTGCTAAGGGGAAATTGGAAAGCATTATTCTAAGGTACACAGAGTCAAGGTACAGAAAATTACTTTCTGGTGTTCCTCAACCAGTTTATGGCACTGTGAGGAGCACAAAGTATTAAGGTATAGCCTATTACAACTATGACTCTTACCTTTCACATTTTTGACTGAACTTCCAAAGATCACAACAGCTGGAGCTAAGAAATAGTTTATTAAATTATGTCTGAAGCATTTGCAGCAGAAAATGTATTCCCCACCATTTTCCTTCACCTTCCTCTCACACAAAATTCAAGCATGTTTTCCTTCAGATAACTTTGTGTATTATGATCCTTTTCTGTCCTTGTGTCTTTTGGGTTGTAACCTTTTAATGGCAAGGATTATGTTTTCATTGCTATTTTTATAGCTGCCAGAAGCACTCTGGTGGTGGCTGGAGGTTTTTGATGTTACCATTACAGAATTTAATATTACTATACTACCATTACAAGTAATATCTGTAATAAATGATGTGAAAACTTTGGTCATGTATTCTGTGCCACACTAAGCCAGTAAAGAGGATTGTATATCAGATGTTATTAAAACTATTTTTTATTAAAAATAAATTCTTTCTCACTCTGCAATTCTCAGAGTAGGGCACAATGAGGTCATTGGAGTGTGCCGGACAGGAATTGACGCCGAAGGCCTTGGCAGAGATCACTGGAATGAAATGTTGGCTTACCCACGTAAACCAATCACTCACTGGCACCCACTAGTAGAGGTAAGAAGTAGCAAAATTTTCTCCTTGATATTGAATGGCTCTGCCCCTCACATTTATGGGCTTCTGGGAATCATGAAAATCAGTGCAGCACCTATAGAGCAGGTAGAAGATCATTAGCACAGCCTAAATCTAGTTGTATGGGTTTATCTATCATTTAAAAGGGCCATTTCAACAGTTTCCATGATGCTCTGATGGCATTGTAAGATTACATTTAGGCATTTTAAATTCCCAGAGATAAAGAGCTTACAGCTACTTAGAAGAGATCATTTGCAAAAATTTCAAAAGCAATCATTTCCTATTCAAAAATCTTTAGCATAAGCTGCTGTTGCTAAAACATTAATCTGTAACTGGCCTGCAAATTAGGCTAAATTGTGGCAACATACCAGCAGCTCCCTCCAGAGTTATTCAACAGATGCTTACTGGAAGCTTTTTCAAATGTAGAGGTGATTATATCTACAAGTCTCTGGGCTTGGACTCCCTCTGTGATCTGCTGTGGCCACACATTGCTGGTGTTCTGTACACAAAAATCCTCACAGCTCTGGACTCAGAAAAACACATATTGAAGCCTTAGGAAGCAGCAGGGCACAGAGGCACTGTTTAGCCCATCACAAAAGCAATCTGTAGAAAAATGATTTGCTGCCTGAGGCCATGTGATTCCCCCACTCTGTAGCACATGGCTGCACAACATCTCCTGTGAGAGGTAGCAAAAGCATAATATTAAGGCTTCAGTAAATCACCAAGAGTGTGGGGGCAAGGAAACTGAGTCAAGGAAGTGTCTTTTAGAGGTTCATGGCTCTGTCTAGTCTATGTAAGTTAGGAGACAGAGGTGCCACCCTGTTGGTGAAATAAATCCATTCCTGTGAAACGAGTCAGAGCATTTTTAGAAGGTCACTTCAGAAATTTTCTTTCCATTATTGGTTCTGCTGGAGACTTTAACACCAGAGACTTTGATCCAGAGACTAGAAAGGGTCTGCATTTGATCTGGATTCTTTTTTGAGAGAGTCTCTCATCCTCTGAAATGAGTGTGATGCACAGCCAGATGTGATAGCATCTGTAAAAATAACACTTTTCTTGCAGCTACCTGGCCGAGCAACCAGTTTTGACAGCCAGGGATCCTGTTCCTCACCCAAACCACCTCTTACGCCCTAGGAGCCAGAAAGGATCCATCCTGCTCAGCGTCCAAAGCTCCCCCCTAGCTCACATCTACATCAACAGAAGGTTTGCATTCTGCAGATGAACTGTATCCATATTTTTTTTATCAAAATGCATCTTTCCTGTTCTAAGTCTTATATGATAACTCATAATAATTTGTTAAAGTGTGAATGAAGTTGACTCGAGTCAAATATAACCCTTCCTTGTGCAAATTTATTCACCTGTTTTTATCTCTGGCATGTATCCAGGATCATATTCAAGCAGTGGTTTGATGGGGCCTGTATCTTTTCAGAGGCAAAGAAACCAGAAAAAAAGATCCCTTAAGTAATTCAAAACTACTGCACCTTTTAACACCTAATTCTTTTGAGGGAGAGCAAATAGTCATACACAGTTCATGCAGTAAATGCCTTCTAAATTGCACTAAATTCTCTGTGACTTTGCAAGACAGCACTTCGAACTGGATGTTGCATGAAAAAAACCAACTGTTGTCATGTTTTGAGTAGCTGGAAAATCAGTTCATTCCTTGGGCAGGGAGGAAGGGCTGGTTTAAAGCCCACTGGAGGCAATGAGGCAGCTCTATTGACTTCAGTGGGTTTTAGTCCAGCCCTTCTGAAACAGGTATGAGAACTGGATCTATGCAGTTATAACCTTCCAGCACTCATGATGACAGCTGCATCTCTACACAAGTCAAACTGCAGAGGAGAGAATGCTCAGACGTAAAGGAATTGATTTAATGTGATTTTTCTCTTCACAAAATTGACCAAATATTGCAGTTACCCACAGCATTTCTGTGATTCTTGATTTAATGTGACAGACTTAGATTTCTTTGAAGTTATTTTGACTGAGTGCACAGCACACATGGAATTTAGTTTCTGGTTGCTGGCTGGATGCCTCTAGACACATATGCTAAATATGAATTTGAGATGTGTTTTCTGTCAGTCTATGGAGAGACAAATCGAAATGTGACTATTTTACAAGCAAGTAAACTCATTTATTAAAATACACAGTGACAGCAAATGCAAAAATCTATTTGCTGTAGTCAGACACATTAAAAACTAGAAGAGAACTACATATTATTTTGTGGATTTATCTCCAAACACTGCAGTTTACCTCAATCAGATAAATCCAATAATTACTTTCTTTTTTCTTTTCTTTCTTTCTGTGAAGAGTGTAGCACAGACAGCATGATTGGGTCTGAGATTTTGAAAGCTGGACTATAATTAGAAAAAGTTAGGAGGTGGCACTTTTTGTACCTTTGCAATATATATTAAAAAAAACCAGAGGAGACAGTGTTTTCCAAAAAAAGCATTTTTACAGAAGTGTCATGCAGGAGAAAAATGACACAGGAAGATTGATTTATGCTAATGAAAGAAATTTTGAGAATTCATCTGGATTGAAGGGAAAAGGTCATTTTGGCAAACTTCTGAAGAACCATTTTGAGTTGGTTTAGCCTGGCTGACACAAAATATGTTCCTGAAGATCCAGTCCCTCCATGCCACTGAGTGATCTCTAAGACAGACAAAAATACCTTTAAGTGTCTTAAACTGCTCCAGAAAAGCTAGCAGGGCTGGTCCTAACATTACAGAAGTATCTGAGTCAAAAAAGGAGGCACTTTTATACCTTGCCTCCTGTGCCTATGAACACAGCAAGCAAGCAAATACATATAAAAATCAATCTCTCAGACAGTCTTTACAAATAAGGGAAAAAAAAGAAAATAAAAGAAAGAAAAAAGGGAAAAAAGCAAAGGCTCCAGCCCAAGTTTTTGAATGTCTGTTTAAGGTTGTTATTCATGGCCTCTAGGCAGAAATGGTTTCTCCCAGAGAGGATTGGTAATGCTGAACTCTGATCCTCCCTGCTTAAGATTGTATTTTCATCACCATAAATACAGAGCAGCCTTGCAGAATTTCATACCTCCTTTTGCTCTGGATGAGTAATTTTTTTAATAGGAGAACAAACTCTCCTCTGTGAGGTTTTTTCCCCTCCCATCGCTGTTATCCTAACAAAATTCTGTGGCCTAGATAATTTTCAACATGATTCTGCAAGGCTGATATAGAAACAGATATATATATATATATATATATGGACATTGAAAAACTATTTTATGTATACATTTACCTTAATATAAATTATATCAACAGTGGCCTTTGTGGCCTAGAGAATACTTTTTGTAATGTGGTACTGTAACAGTTAATTAAATATTCTTTGCACTTTTTTGCACCTAATATTCAAAAAGCAAACAAATTCATGATCAAATGTAGCATAAATGTTCAGCAATGAGCAACATCTTTTTATCTATTTTACTGTTCTCTGAGTATCCTGTGTGTTTCATCATAGGTAATAAGGTATTTCAAGATTCATTTTCTTAAATTTTAATTGTTGTCAAATACCAAAGGCTCGGCTTGTGCCCCCTTGTTGTGTTATTTTTGGTATTGTTAATAACAATAGTGAATGACTTCTGTGTCTAAACCTGATTGATGGGTGCTCTGCATCTAGGAGAAATCAGGCTGCAAAATCATCTGGACATCTAGCTTCAAAGAGGATCTCTTAAGTATTTATCTTTATTCCCTTAGCAGTGATTAATAGAATTAGTAAAAAAGATTTCTTTTTCTCCATTGTTTCCTTAGCCATCTCAAAAGACAGGATATGTATTTAGCATAATCCATCCATTGGCTTTAGAGCCTGGTTCACAAGTTACTCCCAGTGACATCACAAAAGCACCAAGGAAGAGCTTAGCACAGTTTAAGTCAAGGAATATGTTGCTTGATGCATATCTTTATAAAGGAATTCTAAATATTTTAATTTGAAAAATTGGAGAGGTTGGAAGATCTCTCTCCCATCCTGATGGTTTTTTTCTGCTTTTCCACATTTCTCCCATATCCCGTGCATGACCCTTATTTGGGAAAAAAACAAATGTGGCAAAAAGCTGGTTTAAAATATATTGTAGTACTTTTACAAGAGCTAGAAAATCTTCCTTTCCTAAAGGCCTACGTTATTTTGCTTGAAGCTGTTTACTGGAAACAGCACCAGTACTTAAGAATTGTATTTATTGCATGGCCTGGCTTTCTTTATGCTCTCACACTGCACAGGTGGGCACAAGCTCACAAAGATTTAAGTCATGTTCTGCACTCCATAACCTCAGCTTTGGATCCCAGCATTTTACAGTCCTGCTGACATGGCCCTTGCCCTCACCCACCCAGCAGCAACCAGCTCCTTCCTCACCATCCATTGGTCTTAGGGATATGAATATTGGTCAGAGATAAAGTGGCCAGCAACTTCCCCTGCAAAATTTCTTCTTTAATAAATGCAATTCTTTAGATTACTTATGCTCAAGTAACAAAATTATACATTTTTCTTAAAGAATCATGACCGCTTCCAATATTATTGAAGAAAATGTTGAGCTACCAATAAATGTTTTCATTGGGTTGATTTTTTTCAAGGGAAAAAGCAGTTACCTAATTTCTTTCTGTGGATGCATTTTTTGAGCAATATTAAGAAAACAGTTTAGTTACAAGACTCATGTGATCCATCCTTTTCTCCTCTTTCTCAGCTTTTTAACTGGATTCAATGCAATCCCTTTAAAAATTTTTAACATTATGATGTACAACCTATACATGATAGTCTAGTTACAAGATTATTTTGCTATCTCTTTTTTATAAACTTTTGTATGTACTAACTTTTTATTATACTCCATTAATTTAACAGGCTTTATACATCTGAAATCATTTGTCTGTATTTTTTGAGTGAGCAAACATTCAAAAGAAGGGTATTTCAGAACTCAGTAATAGAGTTCTTCTTCTGCTGAAAATGTAACATTTTTCAGAAATCTGTAAATGTGCCTGCCAAATTTGAAAATCACCTTATTTGAGCATGCAAAAACCTAGGTTTGCACATACAAATATTTGCACTTGCTGGATGTACAATCACTATTATTTAGCACTTCTGTTGCAACAGAACCCTCACAGCTAATCAGAAATACATTTGAGTTCATGATAAACACTTGGCAAATCTGTACTGAGTGACAGTTCCTTGACCTGAGAAGTTCATATGACATTATTTCTACAAATGAACAGGCTTGAAAATTTGATAGCTGTTAAAATATGATGTATATGTTAATCAGTGAGGTGACTTTTGGACAAAGCTCATGATTAGTTGGACCATCCAAAATATGGATATGTGCTGGACCATCCAAAATATGGATAAAATATACCATATATATGAGAAATATTAATGCAGGTTTTGATGGGACATTTTCTCTGTCATTCACACCACAGCAGAGACTCATTTTAACTCAAGATTCACTTTCATTTAGCTTCTGAGTCTTGCCAGTCTAAACTGAGCTCTCTGAAAAGAGCTAAATTATGGCACAGAGCAGACCCAGAACTAGGAAAGATGAAGGAAAATGTGGCAGTAGACACAAAGCTGTTCCATGCATCTGCAAATGCCCTGAAACTGAAACCTTCCTCCTGAAACTGATAATAATTCCAGTAGTTTTACCACTTGTCCTTTCTTTCTCTGCTGTAAAACAGGACAAAAGAAGCACATTCCTGAAGAAGCATCAGCATTAAGCATAGGAGTTTATTGAGGTGCTGATCACAGCCATTTGCCTTTTCCAAGGCAAATAATACCTTAACTTCTAAAAGTGTCTTTTGTTTACTCATCTAGATGAATAAATATCTCCTGCACAAGGCACTTTTTCTTAACCCTGGAAAATGGCAGGTTTTTAACAGCATGAAGGAGACCAGGAGCTAGAAATCTAAGAGAAAGTGAAGCTGCAGGTGGGATTTGAATTTCACAGGGCAATCTGGTCGGGAAAATGGAACTAACACCTTCAATCTTGCGCTGAGTGCTAAGGGATGCTTGATGATAGCAGGTGCTCAGGGCTGTGATTTGATGTTTTATCTGATAGCACCTCTGCAATGTTGCTGTTGCTGGGAAACCTCTTTACAGGCTCAGAGAGGAGAATGCCTCTGCTATTGTCACGTGAATTCTTTTTCCAGCCAAGTGTAGACTGTGATTCTTGTGTTCCATGGGGGCTCAGTCCCCTGGAAGGGCACAAAGCATGTTGAATTTGCAGAACAGGAAAAATCAATTTGGCTCTGTGCCATCATGGGGACTAGCCATTTTGTTGGTATTAAAGACAAGTGTTTGTGCCTTGCTGATCCAAGGGAGGACATTTCTTACAAACTCTGTGGCTGAGCCATGTTGATGCTATTGAAGATCCTCAGTACCAACACTGTCAAAATATAACCAATACATATAAATACAGCTTAAATAAGTGGCCAGAACACCAAAGCTCCCTCCTGTGGAAAAGGAATGATGATTCCCTGAAAAATAAATCAAGGCAGTATGTTCTGGAAGTTGGAGTTGCAGGAAGGCACAGAGCTGCTGTGATGAAAGTGGAGCTGCTCTGTAATAATTTATGAATACAATATGTTGAGTTGACTATTGGTCCTGAGCTAGGTGAGTTCAAAAAATCTACTTTAGGGAAAAAACAGGCAGAAAATGTTTGACAGGGGAGTGTCT